TAGACCACGGTATTCTGAAAGAAACGGTCCTTGCCCTTGATGAGCAACTCTTCGACAAAGCACAAGGGGAACACAGCGAATTTCTCAAAGAAGCGGCCCAACAACTTCGCAAAATTGAGCCGACCACTGAAGCTCCTCAAGTCAGTGCTTGGCCACCAAAGCCAAAGCCTGTGGCGCGGATGACCACAGCGCGCATGCGAAGTTCTTTCTTCGATGCCATTATCCTGGTTATTGTGCTGATGGGGATGCGTGCGCGGAGACCCCTTGGTCCGCAAGGCCGCCAGGGTGTGCACGCGGCGGTGGTGCTTCGCAAAGTGAACCTCCAGATTGGCAACCCTTTGTGGGATCCGCGGCTAGAAATGCGATGTCTCCTGGACAGGCAGCAAAGCAGCGGAGACGATGAAGTGCAGGATCTGGAAGCTCTGGAGTCTGAGCTGGCCGAAACTCAGGAAGCTCTACAGCTCAGTCAGGCTCATGAGCGTGCGTTCATTTCCTTCATCATCGCTGGGACGGATGGGCAGACTTCCGATGTCGACGAAGTCCTGAGCGACTCCTCTGGAAGTGATGGTGATTATGACGAGGAGTTGGCCAACATCATGCTGGAGCCCAAGCTTCCCCAGAGCTCCGGCGGTCTTAGCATCACGCGTACTTGGGGAGCTCAGCGAAGCACGCTCATTCGTGCCTTCTTGGTTATGGTTCACCCTGCAGGGTTCGGGGGCCCGAATGCACGTGGCAGCCGGCGGAGCATTGGCCGGGCGCTCGGCCTCAGCTCCGTAAATTTCCGGTCCTTTGTGGTCACGTTTGAAGTCGGTGGCTACATGAAAGCTGCTGCTGTCGTTAACCTGGCCCAACCCAAAGCTGGGATCAGTTCTCACCTGCACTACATTGTTTCACACCAGCGCGGTGCTGGGCAGAGCATGTTGGCTTTTCTTTGCGCTTGGCTGCGTGTTGTCGGTGTCACATGCCTGTTCAGTGCCGCTGATTTGACAATGCCCAACGCTTTGAACTGGCATGAGCGGAATGGATTCCAAAGAGTTTCCAAAATCTCCTGGAAAAAGGCTGGACATCACCTCTACCCTGATGCCAGCAATGTCAAATACATGAAGCTGGACTTCGCCTGAGCTGCACCTTGCGGGCAACATAATGTGACGCATGCCACTGTCCGCCAGCTGTGTTTCTCCCACTCCCTCGGTGCCATAAGTGTCTGCGCAACACTGCAGCCTTTTCGTGACTATGACTTACGACAGCGCGCTTCTGCAGTATTCTGCAGGTGCCCGCTTGCTTTCGTCCCCGGCCTCTCAAGCCCATGAATCAGGCCACATGTGTTTTTGCGACATCAGGGGGTCCGCTTAGCGGAGAACTCTGAGCAAGCTTTGTATGAGGTGCAAGCCTATGGCCCCCGTGCATCTTCTTGCGACGTTTTGTCAGAGCTTTGTTTGGAGAAGTCAAGCCGAGTAAAAGCCGTGTGCACTGCACGGTAAATTGGTCGTGGGGGTTTCATGGGTTTCCAAGCGGAGTACAAGAGGCCCAGGCCGTCCTGGCTTTCAACCTCGATCCCAAGGCCCGAATCCATTCTCTGAGTGACAATGCATCGGTGACATTTTGAAGGAAGGTGTCAAGTACCTCGAGGGTAAGCTTGGCAAATCCACTGCAAACGAGGCAGCGAATGAGCTCTGAGCTTTCATCTCAGCTTTCTAAAAGCCCCACCAACCTCAAGCCTTTCCTCTTGCCAGGTGGGCCAGTGGTTGGCGCAAATGTCCACGGTCAATGGAGGTGTCATCTGGTCATGGCTTGTGGCATGAAGTTGCGCAGCCAATGCTTGGACTTGAACTTGCTTTGTTTGCAGCTGTTGAAATGTGACATGAGCCGTGGCTGGAACATCGTTTGGAGTTTGGGATGTTGGAATGTGATATTGGCAATGGCTGGCTGGGTCGTTTGGAGTCTGGGATGTTGGAATGTGGTTTGGACAGTGGCCGGATGGTCGTTTGGAGTTTGGGATGTTGGAGCTTGAAGTGAGCAATAGCTGGATGTTCCTTTGTTGCCTGGAATGTGCAACGGTAAGGGTTGCTAATTTTGCGCTGGGTTGACAGTATCCATACCTAGCTCACGTACACATGGGTGCTTCAGTTTGTGCCTGCATGCATTTTCCGGCCTCGCAAAATGTTTTCAGCACTCCCTCATTGTTGATCACGATCGACACAGAAGCATCACTGCGCATGCTTCGGGTTTCCTGGGACGCTCCAAAGGGGTGTGTGGCTCAAAGAAGGATGAGCGCATGTGTCGGTATTTTGCCGGTGATCAACACGTGCTGATCAGCGCATGCTTGGACTTGGACGTGCTCGTTTTGATGCTGGATCGTGAAACGAACTGCTTGGATGATTTTTGTAAGAGACATTGCTTGGATCAGGTTTCTGAGTCTGCTGGGGCTTGGACTTGGTTGTTTGGAGGCTGAAATGTGAAACGGTCATTGAAGCTGTCAGTCTTTTTCCGGAATGCTAAGTGGATCCAATGGTTTTTCCGGA